AAGGCAAAACTATGGAGTCAGTAAAAAGATCAGTGGCTACTAAGGGTTCCGGGGGGAAGAAAGGGCAGGATGACAGTGGAGCACGGTGACACCGTTCGGTATGATACTTTTATGATAGATGCGCGTCGTTACGCATGTGTCAAAAATCACCGTGAGTACAAGGCGAAGAGTAAACCCTAAGTAAAATACGGACTTTATTACGTGGTTAATAATCATGTATTGATACTGGCTCATCAAATATAACAAATGCACTACGCTAATGCGTGGTGTTAATAACAGGAGGCGGGAGGTGGGGGCTGGGGGCTGGGGGTACACGAGAACTAAAGTCTCAATTAAAAGGGTCACACACGCAAGAGCACGGGAAGGACCATGTCTGTTGGAGGAGCGGTAGGTTGCTTTGGGAGTTATGAGTCTGGGAGAGAAGGGGGTGACCTGAGTGTCCTGAGCTTCCTCAGGTGACAGAGCCCCATATCGGGATCAACGGTAAAGTGAGATTACTGAATATGGCGCCAAGACAGAGCAGTGGCCAGTGGTCTCCTCGGCAGGAGGCTTTATCTGCAAAATTCACGGATCTGCCTGGCCTGTCCAGAAACCCTGGTGCCACGTGCCTTCCTTTTTCGAATGGTAAGTAGTGCTTCGATCTGTTAGTTTTACGTTTGATATTTAAATATCCTTTATGGGAGAGCGGCTGTTCTTACTCTGAAAGGAGAGTTCGGAGGCTTTCTTATAAAAATCTAGCGTATCTTTCTCAGAAATCTGCGTCCAGGAGCCATCCTCACATTTCTTCATGAACTGGTGGAAGAGATGCCTGAGGTCCTCGCTCCAGCTGGGGTTGGAGAGACCAAAGTCCTTCTCAGAAGAAAACCACCTCTAAAATACCAAAGACAGAGAGGGTCACGGGAGGTATATCCTATGTCATAACACATTCTCCTGTTTTTAAAGACTATTTCGCTACTTTTCCTCTTCCCAGAGCTCGTCGTTTCGGAGCGGAAGCAAATTTCGTGGATTGCCCGGTCAAACCTCCATGGGAGAAATGGGAGGCTTCGAGTGGGTAAATGACGTGCTGGGTGTTACCCAACTAGCTATTGGCGGAGCCGGCATGAAAACCCAGGTCTGCAAACCCAGGTTTTTCAAACCGTAATCAAGCACAGGAAGCCAGAGCACAGGGAGAGGTATTCATCTTGGATTGGGGGTCCAGGAGGGGGATACTTGGACTTGAATATTGATTAGACAAACAGAAATTAGGCAGCTAGAAAGAGTATTGTAGGCGAAGAAATACTTTATGCAAAGCAAGGAGACACGAAAGAGTTTTGAGGGGCTTTACTACAACCCTGTGAAGTAGGTACTAATTACTGCCCGCAGATTGCGGGCTGGTCCAGGTGAGAAATGACGAGAGCATGAAGCGGGACTTGGTGACCATTTGGATAAGGACAGTGAGGGAAGAAGGAGAACACGAGAGCCCATCCAGGTCTCTGGACCCAGCAACAGAGCGGTGGCAGAGCCGACCACGGAGTTAGAGGAGGAGGAGGGGGAGGGAGTTGGGGGGAGGGGCAAGTGCTTGGTCACGGTGACAATGGCTTCTGCCAGTGGCATTTCTCTGTTGCGCTGAGGACTGCTACCACGACAGGGCCCGGGCGGCAAGGGGGGTGGTGCAGGGCCCTGGGGGAGCAGGACACGGAGACCGTCCCCAGGTACCTGGAAAGGAAAATCGGATCTTTTGACTTCAGTGGAAATCTGGAGACATTTGAGATCACAGAAGGTACCCGTGACATTCTACTTCCAGCCACCCTTATCGATTCATTCAGATTCGATGTACCCACGACATGTGGACTGCGCCCTGACACCACAGTAGGGAGACCACGCTTCCTGTGATGGAAGAACCAGCTACCTGGACTTCTGCTGACACCCGGGCTGGCTCCAATCCTGGCCCGACAGCGATACAGGATGCCTGTCTCAAGAGCTCTATAGAACTAAAGACTTCCTGGCTGAACAAAAGGAAGTCTTGATTTTGTCAGGGGTGCTGTGAGCGGGGTCACGACCATGCCATTCCCTAGCCCAGGACTTGTGTGCCTTTCTTTTTTTCCTGTGGTTTTGAATTGACTCATCCCTTCAGAACCCAGCTCAAGAAATCTAGAAAAGAAGAAAGAAAAGAAAAACAGCAACAACAAAAAACCCACCCATTATCTCTCCGTCTTACTATGACCAACAAGAACACTGTGATGTAGTTCCTCCGAGTTTTGGAAAATGTCATTGTTCTTAACATACTTGTCGTCATCTCAATAAGGAATAGAATTTTCCTTTTTGCTTCAGCCCTTAAAATTATTGTGTTCGCTTTCTCGACAGCAGAAAAACAGTCCTTTAAACAAACGTATGTACTATCTTTTACTGAACCACTGAAGTTGGACATTTGTTTTCAATCTTTTGCTGCTCTCGATGAAAATGTTCATTGGAACGTTACAACTACAGCTTTTTCCTCTATTTTGGATTATTTCCTTAGAATCCAGTTTCAATCAGATAGCTTTGAAAGTACACCAATCCTGGAAGTATTTTAACAGAAACAACACGATTTGTCACAAATTCCTATGTATCGACCAAGCCATGTCAACTGAGACGTAGAATAGGCTGCGTAAGCTTTGGCATTGTGAATTCGGGCTTATCGCATCCATAGCTCTCATCTTAAATAGAAAACTCTAGGATCGATCTGTTCCAGGGTCCTTTTACGGATCACTGTCATAGAAATAATTGAAGATGTTTACGTATTAGAATGACTCCCTGGACTGTGGGCTCTCCAACCTGATTTGAACTTTAGAAGTCTGGGATTCAGCTAACTAGCAAACTTTTTTAGCTCTACTATGTGCCCTGGTTCTGTGCCAGGAACGGGTGAGGCAAAGAGCGAAGACTTAGGCCCCGCTTTCAAGCGCCTGCAGCCTTGGCTGTGGGAAATGCTACAACAGAAGTAGATACAGACGCAGAAGGACTGACTTTCAGGGAAAACTTCAAAAAGAGGAGTGATTTCTAAAGGATAAAAGTTCACTCAGGAGAGAACGGGAGGGCTGCTCCAAGCAAAGGGGTAGAAAGATGAAACAATCCTAAGACATGATGGGGGAACTGCCAGGATTTCAATTTTAGGATAGAAGATGCAAACAGAACAGCAGCCAGATGTGGATGGAAAAGCAGGAGCATCCCACTGCAGAGGCTCTCCAGCCTTAACCAAGGGGTTAGATCTCATCTTCTCGGTCAATATTTCAAAAGGCCCATATGAAAGATGATTTTAGACAGCACAAAGAGAATGTATCTATCTTGAAATGCATATTACAAAAGAACATAAGAACACATCATACTTGCGACTTCACAAATGTCGTTGCTTAGGATGAAGCTAATTGAAGAAAGAGAGTCTTTAAAGAATCACGAAGGTGGTACCCGAGGAAGAAAATACTTTTTTCCATTACGTTGCGCCTTAAGGAGTTTTAAGCAAAGCAATAACACGAACTTAGGTTTCAGAAACCTCCCTCTGGTGTAAAGGATGAATCGCAAGTTGAGAATCAACGGCGGGGAAACTAGTTAAAAAACTGTTGCAAAGGTCCAGGTGAGGGGTGGTTAGAAGCTGACCTAGGTAGAGGGGGATGGAAAGAAACGATTTAAGAGATACTTAGAATACTGGGACCTAGGGATGTGCGGATCGTGGGGGAAGAGAAAGAAGAGTCTTGGATGATTCCAGAGTCGTGACTTTAAAGATCGCAGTGAATAGGAAGAAAGGAAAGACGAGGCTTTTGTCGGTGTCCCTGTGTGTCAGGAGGCAGAGCAGGAGCGGAACTCTTAATTTTAGTTTGGGGCATGTGGAGTTTAAGACACTAGATGAACACTATGATGTCGTGAGAAACAAAAATAATGAAAATTTCAGTTCCGAGAGGTGAGAACTAAGAGATAAAGTAAAGGCACTTGTAAATTCGGAGAATAAACTGTGTATTTGAGGAATAAACATTGGGGATAATCGTTACCTTTCGTCGCCCTGAATAGAGCAAAGGTTTTGACCTTTGGGTATGTCTTTTTCAAGTGGGACTTGTTGAGAAAAGTTATGACTTGTAAAATTGTGTCTCCTTTTAAGATTAAGTTACTGAACAGAAAGAAACATGACTTATAAAGCCTGTAAATACTGTTCAACATTCTCAATGCAGATTACAAGGCACCGATGAACTTATCTTTGTTGTTGTGAGATCGGCATGTCTTTTTCTTTTCCAAAGTGCAAGATGATACAGAATGAATAACCAATCTGCAGTATATTATTCTTTAAAAGAAACCTACAAGCGCTTTCAGATCTCGCTGATACAGAGCCGTTCCCTCTTCTGTGCTCCCCAGTACTTCCTTACAGCACAGAGCACGTATATATTTTAATTTTGCAAGTCAACCCCTTTCTTCCGAATCAGATCGTGAGCTCCTCGAAAGGGTCACTTTCTCACTCATCTTTGTATCATCCGTCTGGCATGTCGTTGGGGCTTAATTAACCGTAAAAGTGGAAATTCTCCAGTTTCAGGGAAGAG